CCGCCAGCCTGCCAGCCTTCTGATCCCACAGCTGCTGTTTCTGGGCCACTGCTTCTCATCTTCTATTACCACCTCATCAGCACTCCAGAGCCAGTCTGGTCCAAAGGTGGGCTCTACTCCTGGTCGTTCTTCCTTGCTGGCTATGAGACCCCCTTTCTGCCTCTGAGGTAACTCATTTTAAGCCTAGTGGAATGACCAAAGTCCTGGTGGTGGTGTGGGTTAAATGTTGGGCTGCTAATAGAAAGGTGTGTAATTTGAAAGTACCAGCTGGTCCATGGGGGAAAGGTGAGGCTTGATAGGACGCTGTCGCTGAAACCCACCGCAGCGGCGTTCTGCTCTCTTACAGGGTCGCTGTGAGTCAGAATTGACTCGGTGGCAGTGAGTTTGTTTGGCTCAGGATGGCAAAGCTGACCCAGTTCCTTTGTTAGTGCCCCATATACCTTGTCTGTGTTATTATTTGTGTGTATCTTAATTACCGTATTATCTAGTTACCTAATCCCTTTAGTGGACCACAAGCACCTCATTTGCATAACCCCACCAAGTCATTTGGTGAAAGTTAGAAAGACTGGCTAGAAGAATCATATTAAGTGATTCACTTTACTGCACCATCCGAAATTTATTTTTAATTTTTTAAATAAAATATTTTTAATGTGTGAAGATTGGTTTCAAAAAAGACTTCTGTTTACCAAAAGAAGAATTGTTTCTTAAGCAGTAAATTTTAAATTTCAAGAAACATACTTTTTCTAGACCAATAACCCTCATTATACATAATACAAAATTAAGTTTTTTTTCATGTAAGGTGTGCTTTTTTCCCCCAACAGTTTTAATGGCATGTAACATATATCATACAATTCAATAGTTCAGTCATTCAGTAATATCAAGGAGAATTGTACACAACAATCTTAGAGCATTCATAAGGTGCTTTTTGTACTTTTGTAGAGAATATATTCTTTGTGGCACTGGGTTTTAAAGTTTGCAATACAAAGTTATTGAAGATCTAAATTTGAAAGAAAGCTGTGTTTTTCTCTCTCGAGTTAGATCTACTTGTATAGTGAGTTTGCTTTTAGCAGTATATGATGGAAGTAAGGTGAAAAAAGCTTTATAATTCATTTGGGTCCTAGAGAACATAGAATTGTTACCTATTTTGAATGTAGTTTTCCTTTAAACCCACCCCCCCACGAAACCTTTATTAAGGATACATTTTACAGACACAAATAGAAGTGTATTCTAAGTACCCAGCACCCAGCCTCAACAGTCCTTGATGTTTATCTAGACAATATGATGTTCCCTCCATCCCCATTTAGATCCCTTCCTTGAATGACTGTTACAAATACTAGCTACCACATCATTGCTTCAATGAGTATTTCCGTATGTATTTAAAAGATAGACTATTTGAAAATACTACTTCAATAATTCCTTGGTTATTATAACAATTCAATTGAGTGCTCTAATATATGTCTGTGTAATTCAACAACTTCTTGGGAAATTTAAAGCAAGTGTCATGGCCTTGCCAGCTTACAAGTGGGGTATGCACACTTGTAAAATGAAGATGACAATTCTCAATTTATAGCTGTGGCGGTAATGTGTGCTTGTTTTAACATTTTAGCTTTAGTTTTTAACCAGGTTTAAAAATGTCTGGCTACTTGCCAAACTTCTTATGAACTGTATTATGCTGAACGATGCTTGTGATCTTTCTTGAAATAATTTTAGACATTCACAAAACCCAAACCAAATTCACTACCTCTGTGTCAATTTTAATGTGTGAAGACCCTGCAGGACAGAGTGGAACTTGCGTTTCTGCAACTGTGGATCTTTGACAGAGCAGAAAGCCTGTCTCCCTTGGTGAGCAGCTGGTGAACTTGGACAGAGCTTGTGGTTAGCCGTCCAACGCTTTACCCGCAGCAGCACCAGTGCTGGTTGTAGATGTGTGCGTTAAACTCACTGCCGTCCAGTTGATTGTGACGAGTGTAGTGAGTGCCCCTTGGACTGTTACTGCTACTCTGGGGAAGGATGAGGATGTCTGCTCCCCTAAAGATGCTAGGGTGTAGTTCTACACCATCTTGTAGGGTCGCCATGATGATGAGTAGACTTCTAATAGCTTTCAAAAACATTCCACTGACTCATAGCAACCCTGTCGAAGGGTTTTTGTAACTGTAAATCTATACAGAGCAGATAGCCTCATTCTTTCTCCTGCTTACGTAGAGGCTACGGAGATAGGCGAGTTCCCGTGTACCTTGTACCCAGCTTCCCCATTGACAATATCTGACAACTGTTTTAAAAAGGGTTATTTGAATCAATCTAAAATAGATCTACATATTATGGGATATACTTGGGTATAAGCTGACCCAAATATCAGTTGAGGCACCTAATTTTACCACAAAACTTCATTAAAAATGTGCTGGAAAATTTGGCATATACTCTAGTATGTACGGTATAATTGTCCACATAATGTATTTAAGTTATTTTTAAATTTGTAGATACCCTCTCCAGCTTGTTTACCATCACAATTTATTTGTTGGATACGCTGAATTATGTTGTAAAGAAGCAAATTTATCTTGTATGTTTGTATTTTCCTCCAGCTTCTTTTTTAGCGATGTGTATTTTTCATCCTTGAGAAGTTACTTTTACAAGAATAGTTCTGTGATGTAGTGGAAAGAGACCAGTATTTGGAATCAGAAAATGATAATTTAAGCTTCGCTTTTTATCATTCAAGGAGTCCTAGTGGATTGGATGAAGTATTGGGCTCCTAACTGAAAGGCAGTTCAACTTTAACCAGCTGCTCAGTGGGAGAAAAATGAGTCTGGCTGCTTCCGTAAAGATTTACAGCATTGGAAACCCTGGGAGCAGGAAGTCTAAGGGGTCTCCTCATGGGTTAGAATTAACTTGCTGGCAGTGGGTTTGGTTTTTCACCATTTGCTAAATAATAGATTTAATTAATGGCTTAATTTCTCTGACTCTTAGTTTACCCAGCAAAATAAAATGGGGAGTTTTTCTGAGGACAAAATGAGGTTACTTAGGAAACATGTTGTGCATTGTCATGATCCTCCAGGCTGCTGTGCTTCTTCCATGTGGGCGTGTTGCTTCTCTGCTAGATGGCCGCTTGTTTAACTTCAAGCCTTTAATAATCCCAGATGCTGTATCTTCTAACTAATAGCCAGGCACCACCAGCTTTCTTCACCACATTTGCTTGTGCACTCATTTGTCTTCAGCAATGGTATTGGGAAGGTGAGCACACAATGGTATGGTTTTTTGTTCGTTGATGTCTGTCTGATCCCTGATCCCTTTGACACCTCATGATCACACAGGCTGGTGTGCTTCTTCCATGTGGACTTGTTGCTTCTCTGCTGGAGGGCCGCTTGTTTGCCTTCAAGCCTTTAAGACCCCAGAGGCCATATCTTTTGATAGCCAGGCACCATCAGCTTTCTTCACCACATTTACTTGTGCACCCATTTTATCTCCAGTGATCCTGCCAGGAGGGTGAGCATCACAGATTGCTAGATTATTAGGGAGGGCATGAGCAGAGCCCCAAAGTTTGTTCACGACCTCAATGTATTGCCATATAAGTATATGTATATAGGCCTATACTTCTATTTTTATGAATGAATATACTTACATACGTACACATCTATTTTTATACCTCTATCCATAGCTTTTCTTCCTAGATCTTTCCTTTTACCTTTCTCCTGCCCCACCATTATGTTTACCCTTCTCCTGCCTCTTAGTAATTCCTCTCAGCTAAATTGCTGTTGCTCCAACACCCTCAGGATCTCTACATCCTCCTCGTTGTTGATTTAAATTCCCTAGTGTTCCCCTGTCTATGCTGTTGTTTGCTCACCCCTCCCTTCCTCCGCCTCCTCCTCCCCCAAGTCCCTCTGGAACCATCGGTCCCATTGCTTTCTCCTTGTTCTTGTTTCCCATACCTTACCCTACCTTATATATAGGTAGGCAAACCAACAGTAATGGAAACGATGCAAAAAGAAAGCAAGAGTTTGAATAAGAAGAGAAAATAAACTAGCAAAAACCCTGAAAAAGCATACTTCATTCCAGTTCTGTCTGCTGACCTGTATGGCTGTCTCCCCACCGGTTCTGGAGGGTCTGGGAACTGCCCTCCTAGCCTGAAGTCTGTTTTGGGGGCTCCTCAGAGACTGTGGCTTTGCTTTGCTCCCATTGCTGGTCTGTTATGTTCCCTTCTTGATTCGCCCTGCTGTGGGGGGTTCAGACCAGATTCACTCCCTGCCGTGTGTCCCCAGTCTTGTCCCCTGTTGCGGTGTGCTCCAGTGAGGGGACATCGTGTCTCAAGCTGTTGTCTGCCCCACAGCCCTCTCTGTGCCTTAGCAGCTCCGTGCAGGGCCCTCATCCTCAGGGCTTGGTGTGCCGATATGGGGTCTAGACCCTCCCTCTTTTTCCTCCTTGGTTTGCTTCCGTGTGGGCGGGCCAGCCCCTCTCCCCAGCCTGTAGGCTTAGTGTTGTCCTCTGTAGCATGGTCTGTGCTTGAGCTGCTCCACGTGGTCACGTTGCCCTCAAGGTTTGGCGTGCTGTGGTGGGGTCTGCGCTCACACGCCCATTTCTGTAGAGACATAAACAGTACCCTCCCCGGTGTGGGTTAGTGCCCTGCTCGCCCAGTGCCATCGTCTTCCTCACAGCCCCTCTTCCCCCTCCCCCTCCCAGTGTGTTAGAATGACATGCACATCTTGGGTTTGGCCTGTCTCCCACCCAACTGCCTGTACCTCAGCCCATACAGTGAGATAAGTGACTTTTCCTCCTGTGTGATGATACTTAACCTCCGTGCATTCATGCTGTGCGTGTCCTTTTGTGATTGGCTGACTCCACTTAGCATAATTTAGGAAACCCTATTAATGTAGCCAGTTTTAGTTTTTTGTTTTTGTTTTCAAATTTACTTTACCAAGACCTTCTTTTAATAGCAACCTACTAATGTGCCCAAGGACTCTACTCAACAGCACCGCTTGTCTGACTGCAGCTTTTTCTTTCTGGTTTTGTAGTGACAAAAATGCTGCGTTTCTTCCGAAGAACCCTTGGGCGTCGGTCCATGCGCAAGCATGCGGAGAGGGAGCGGCTCCGAGAAGCACAGCGAGCCCCCACACACATCCCCGCGGCCGGAGACGCCAAGTCCGTCATCACATGCCGTGTGTCCCTTCTGGATGGTACAGATGTCAGTGTGGACTTGCCGGTATGAGATCGTTATCTTTCTCTGAGTGTTCTGCTGAAAACTTCAGTATTAGGTCACCTAGGTGAGGAGAGGGCTGATACTGATACAGGTACATGCATCAGGTGATCTTAGACTAGACATACCTGGAATGATGATATTCCTCTCTGTTTTTGGTGGCAGTCTCTGGAAATATTTAAATGATAGGGCAGTTTGGGCATGAATCTTTTTTATTTTTTATTTTCCATGATTATGTGTGTTCTTTACGATGGTAGGACATAATGTATTCTGAAATCCAGTGGAATTTTCATAATCCCTGTTGGATAATTATTGAAGCATATGAAATATTTTCAGAATGATAATGGTGCTTATGTCTATACTGTAAGCATTGTAAGTATCCCTGGTGGTGGATTGGGCAACCCACTGAACTGCTAATCACAAAATCTGCAGTTCGAATCCACCAGCTGCTTCTCAGGAGAAAGAGAAGGCTATCTTCTTTGATAAAGATTTAAAGCCACAGTAACCTAAGAGAGTGGGTCCGATAGGGTCACTGAGTTAGAATCGATCTGATGGCAGTGTGTTTGAGTTTGTAAGCATTTGGGAGCCCTGGTGACACAGTGTATGTAAGGTCAGCAGTTTGAATCACCAGCCACTGCTCGGGAGAAAGAGAAGGCTCTCTACTCCCTTAAAATGTTACAATCCTGGAACCCCACAGAGGCAGCTTTACTCTGTGTGGCAGGGTTGCAATGCACCCGAACTGAGTCAGTGGCAATGTAAATGAGTCTTTTAGTTCTTTATACTTGTCTGTATTTTCAAAATCCTCATTTTCTCCCCAAAAAACCCCAAACCCCTTTTTAGAGTTCGGTTGTACTTGCAGAAATGTGAATGAAATGAAGTGACAAAAGAGGTTTTGCTTCAAAGTCCCAAGCTTTCATTTGCTTATCTCTTTACTCCCCATGTAATTTGCTTTATAGTTTTTTCATACACTGTAATCATTATTTTAAGACAGGCTGCTGGAATTATATCTGAACTTGAGAACTTTAAAAAAGTTTTATTTATTAATTTTTATTTTTTTGAGTTCTTTTTTTTAAAGAACAAATCACACATAATCCTAATTCACAGTGTGAATTCCAGTATATTTGAAAGCGGTTACCTTATTCTTGACAGGCTTAAATTTTTTTTTTATTTAAAAAGTTTTATGGGTTAGGGGGCATTGAGTTTCTTTTTGAGCTAATACTTCATCTTTTTCCTGAGGAGCCCTGATAATGTAATTATTAAGCACACAGCTAGCATCCAGAAGGTCAGCAGTACTAGCCCACTGAGATCAGCTCAGGAAAGGGTACAGACTCCAAGACAGTTTTCTGTTGTCACAGCGGATCCCTTTATGTTGGAATGGATTTGATGAGACACAATACTGAGCACTTTTCTTATGTCTTTGTTTTGTATTCCGAGACTTAATAACCGAGCTGCGTATTCCATGCAGTTTGATGTCAGCTGCGTCAGAGATCTTCCCTGTCCTGGACTCCTCAGTGCACTCTCATTGACATAGGTGTCGGTGTAAGATGTCTAGATACCAGATAGTTTAGTACAAGTCACAGCCTAGACATTGCTACGATGGCTGTCTCACGAAACGCAGTAGTGAGGGATTAAGGAATTGGATAGTTTGTTTAGATGAATAGTCTGATTAACTGAAATATAAAATTTAAATATAATAAAATTAGCCAAAAATTGTATATTCTTCGCTCTGATATCATAGTTAAGGGTATTTGTTATGTGTATATTAAACTGGATATTTATTACAGGGTTTGATTCTAGAAAACTTTAAAGCACCTGAATTTTCTTCCTATAAATGCTTTTTGGGGGTATGCCTGAGTTTCCAGTGTGTGGCCCTTTGTGAAGGTAGTAGATTTTGTGTTCGTTTCTTATGTGGTAAATGTCTGCAGAGTTTGTGTATTATTCCATTAAAATACCATTAGGTGCTGTGGTGAAAACCTGAGGTTGCTGGGTCAGAGGCTGGAAAGAATTTCCAGAGTTACCTCATGCTTCAAGTATGAGGTCTCAGGGCTGTTGATAGAGAGGCTGATAGAGGAGAGTAGGCTTTGTAAACAGGCTTTCGGAAGAGTCAGCGTGGCGTGGAGGGAAGCAGCACTAGGTTTTGTTGCTGCTTTGAACCTTGGTTGTGACTTGGATGAAAGTGAGCCAAACACATTAGTTTTCCATTTGATAGTCTGTACATGTTTTGTGACATTCATTGCAACTCCCTCAGCATAACAGCTCTCTTCCCTTTTCTTCCTGTTTCTGCCTTCCGATCTTTGTTTTGGGACAAGGCATTTGACTTTATTTAGCACAAACAAAACTTGTACATGGGCTGTCTTTTTTTTTTTTTTTTTGCTAAACAGCCTGGCATTGGCCAACTGGGCTGCTCTTCGCAGGCTGGCTTTGCGTGAGCAGACCTGCTGTGCACGAGCAGCACTTCCAGCTCCTCGACTTGAGGCGCAGGCACGAGTGGGACCCTGGGCAGACGAGCTTGGTTTTCTCGTTTTTGCCACCTTAGCAGATGTCGAGTGTCCAGACCGAGCCCTTAATCTTTCCCACACCCTGTTGTTGGTGTGTCTGGGTCTGTCAGTTTGCTTAATTTCTACATGTGGTCTGATAGAGCTGACATACCTCTTTCTGACACTGGGTTTCCGGGGGGTGTGCGGGCAGCCGGGATGCCCGGGGGAGATGACTGCCTCCTTGGCAGGCAGCTGAGGAAGAGAGAGGAAAGGTCACAGCGTTAGGTTTAAAGTAACAGGAGAAATGGCCAATAACTAACTGGTCTCGAATTGTTTTTATACTTGCTGGGCCCAGAAATGATCACTGGTCTCTCGTGGAAGCAATTGTAGTGAAGTGTCCAGAGTTCTCAGTTTGGCTCTTTGGAACTAGAACAATTGTCTTTACAGCTCTTTAGGTGAACTTGAAAGTTAGTAACCCAAGTTTAGTTGCTTGGAAGGGAATAAAATGGGCATTTGCTATCAGCTAAGTTGTTTTACTAAAGAAATAGGCACTGATTTCTAAAAAGAAAAGCTTTTTCCATTTTTGAAAGTTCCACTTCCCAACTCATTTTGTGTAACTCTAGAAGAAGATTCAGAATTGCTTTGGAACTGCATGAAGCACGTTCTCATGTCACCTTAGGGTCAATCCACTGCCATTGAGTCGACTCTGACTCCTGGTGAATTTACGGGGAAGAGCAGGGCTCCTGAGACTGCACCTGGTCATGGAAGCAGATTGCTTCCTCTTCCTTCCAAGGAGCATCCTGCAAGTTCAAACTGCCGGCCTCTGAGGTAGCCGTCCATCGCTTAACCCAGAGCTATTCTGTAGGGTTTGAGTCACTTGCAAAAAGTCCCCGAGCCATTGCCATCGAGTTGATTTCAATTTACAACCACTCTGGAATACAGAGTAGAATCGCTTCAGAAAGGTTCCGTGGTTGTAAACCTTATCAGAAGCAGAGTGCGCCACTGAACAGCTGGGGGGGGCGGTTCAAGCAGCCAACCTTCTGGTTAGCAACCGGGTCCTTAACCACTGGGCCCAGACGGTTGTGTTGGCATTATATGAGGAATCTATCTAAGGGATTCTCTGTGTTTATCTGTTGTTTGAAACTGGACCTAAAATCAATATATATGAGGGGGCTTCAAAAAGGTCATAGAAAAAAGGGAATTAAGAGATAATGGAATTTTCCACCAGGAAACTTTTTGAAACCAGGAGTAGTGGTCACTTTCTTACTCCTTTCCAACTTGAGGGAGTAATATAGAAACCTATTTCCTTCTTTTTGTGTGGAATGGATCGCATTGCAGATGTCTCACTAAATGGCAAGGGCCTAAGGCTTCAAGGAAACAGTTCTCACTCTGCTGTTTCAGTTTTTCTTTGGAAATACCAAAGTAAACTCTCTCGGTTGTTTAATAACATAAGCTCTTATGTAATATAATAATATTTAGTAAATAGCTTGTTTTGTCAAACTTCATTATCTCCTAAATTTTAAATTAATAATGAAGTATTTGGTTAATTAACCAAGAGATAATGTGTCTTTATATCCTGCTTAGCTGGTGTAAATGCTAAAAACTTTAACTTATCTAAACAGTATATAGTTATACATTTAAATATTTTCACTTATACATTGAGTTATACTATGTATCTCATTTTTTCTGTAATTTACATTGTCCTCTAAGGAGTATGCTTGAAACGTGTTTTAGTAATCTTATATAATACCAATTTTGTGTAGATCTGAATTGGATACTGAAATTCTGATTTTAGATTTCTTCATACCGTCCTTGGTTTTAAGGGTAACTTAGACTCGAGAGCCGGAGCTGGGAGAGGCTGGTTGTCACTAGGATGAAGCTTTGATGCTGAAAGAACCATGTGAACCAAGTCTGACTTGGTTTGTATGTAATGTACAGTAACTTAATTTTGAATGAACATCTGCTTAATTAAGCAGTTTTTAGATCAAGCTTTTTTAGTGTACCTTTTCTGTAATTTCTCCCTCAACCTTAACTGCCTCTTCTTCATTAGCTTTCTTTTGGTTGGTGTGTACCTTTGCCTTCCCCTCTTGGCTTTTTTCACATGGGCACTTTCTGTTTGCGCAGCACTTAGAAAAGGCTTTACTGGGGAAGCGGAATTTTCAGGTGTTTGAATAAGTAAGTGGGAAGGGAGAAGGGCTTGTGGGTGTGAAAAGGGGGTGGGTTTGGGAATGAAGTAGAGCAGTAGCTGGGAGCGGCGAGGATAAAGTTTCCATGTTGAAAGGACAGTGAACACCGAGTATGACCATGAGAAGTAAGCAAAGACTGGGTAATGGATGATCTTAAAGATGGCGTAGGAGGACTGGCTGAATGCTGTTCTTTTGAACGTTTGCTGTGTGTTGGGGCCGATTCCACAGCACAGCAATGTGAAGGCGTTGAAAATGTTATGTAAATAGCTACTGAGGATACTGTGGGGAAAGTTTTTATTCAGAATGTACTGGGCAGTTATTATGTTTAAACGACTATCCCTTT